AGTCCTCCCTCGTCTTAGTGCCTTCTTTCAATTTACCCTGTAAATGGTGTTTGTTCATAGTTTACATGTTGATCCCCCATTAGACAGGGGCTCCTTGAGAGCAGGGACTGTTTCTTTGTATCCCCAGAGCTTGGCAAGTGACTGGCACATAGTAGGGGCTTAACAAATGCCAGTTGACTGCCCCTACAGCTCTACTGAAATTGCTGTCTTAAAGGTCACCAATAATCTTTGAATCACCAAATCCAATGGCCTTTTTATTCAGTCATCAACTCTCCCCTCTCTGCAGTTTGTGAAACAGTTGAAACTTTCTCCCATTGAATATTTTCTCTTTCCTTGGCTTGAGGCACCACTCTCTCCTGATTCTTCTCTCTGAGTTTCAGTTTCCCCATATGAAAAGTGAGGGGGTTGGACTAGATGTCTCTGAGGTCCATTCTACCTCTAAATCTCTAGTCCTCTTATTAATAACTTACATTATTTAGCATGTTAAGGTTTGCAAAGCACTTTCTGCACACTTTGAGCCACTGAGTGCAACTGTTATTTCCATTTTACAGATGAGGAAACTGAGGCACAAAAAAGTTAAGTGACTTGCCATAGAGCTAGTAAGGGTCAGAAGTGGGATGTGAACCTGGATATCCTGGACTCCAGATTTAGCAAGCTCTGCTGTACACCAGGTGTCTGGGTCAGGAGTCAAATGCAGGTTTCTTAATTTCAAGTCCTTTTCCCCATCCCTCTTATACTTTTTTCATTATAAACCAACCTGCTCTGTCTCTAACCAATCCTTCTCTGTCTATCCTGGGTCCTCTTCGATTTGTCCTATATGCTTTTCCTTTGTTTACTCTCATCACTACAACCAAGTCTATGCAGATGACTTCCAAATCTGCCTCTCTAGCCCTGGTCTTCCTTCTAACTAGACCCACTGCATTTGAAGTCAAGGTGCTGAGAGAATGCAGGCTCCTCATGGGTAGGGACTACTTCATTTTGTCTTTGTATTCCCAGTGCCTAGTATGATGTTGGGCGTACAGTAGGTACTTAATAAATGCTTCATTTAAATCCCTACCCTGACACCATCTAGCTGCATGGCCTTGGGCAAGTTACTTAACCTTTGTGAGCCTCATTTTTCTCCTTTGTAAAATTCAGAGGGTGACTGATCACAATTTGGTCCTAATGCTCACTGCTAGCACCATCTTGGATCACCTGCCTTGACCAGAAGGGCCTCCCTAATACATCAATTTCAAGAGTGATGTTGTATTTGGAGTCAGAGGACCTAGATTGAAATCTTAGCTCCCAGAGTCAGCTTATTGCCTGTGTGACCTTGGGCAAGTCATTTAACTTGTCTGGGTCTGAGTTTTCTCAACTGTAAAATGGGGAGGGGGTGGACTAGATGATCTCCAAGGTCCTTTTCATCTCTGATCTACAAATAAGCATTTATTAGTCACCTATTTTATATGGGGCACTGTGCTATACACTGGAAGAGAAATAAAGTTTAGCTATGTCCTAGTCTCTACTTTCAAGAATGCTATACTTCAATATGGATAGAAGACAGGGGCAGTATAGTGATATGGTGGAAAGAACACTGAACTTGGGATCATAAAATACCTAGATTCAAATCCTACCCTAAACTTTATTAGCAGTGGGAGTAAGGGCAAAGGGATGAACCTCACTCATCTGTAATTTTGACATATGTAAAGTAGACATCATAATTAGACTGCAGAGACCTATGTCATGGGAGATCATTGTGAAGATCACATGAAATTATGCATATCAAGCCTTTTTGTGGACTTTAAGGTGTTATATAAATGTCAGCTATTTCCATCAGGCATCTAGTGCATAGTAGGCATTTAATAAATATGGACTTGAAAAAAAATGTCATTGGATTAGATGACCTATATGGTCTCTTCTAGCACCAAATCTATGACTGTATGGTTGCTTTTAATCTAGCTCTACTTGGACGTCTGACTATCTTCTCCAATTGTGAATTTGAAATTGAAATTTGACTTTTGAAATTGAATTCATCATCCTTCATTTCCTCCCCCTTCTTCTGCCTTCATTCTTTATCTCTAAAGTGCCATTCTTCACCCAATCTCCCATGTCAGAAACATGGTGGTGTTTTTGACTCTTCCTCTCCTTGGGTAAGCTACTTTATCTCTCTGGGTAGGCCTCAGTTTCCTCAACTATAAAAGGAGGTCCATTCCAGTTCTAGGTTTAGGATCCTATGACCTATCTTCATAACATCTCTCATACTCTACCTCTTATCTCTATTTATACTACCTCAGTATTGGACCAGCCCTCTCCACCCCCGTTATTGATTATTCCAAGAGCTTTCTTACTTATTTCCCCACTTTCACTCTCTTCCACCCACTCTCCTTTCAATTGGCTCTTTGAAGACTAGTCTTTTCCATGCTTAGATCCAGATATGTTATCCCTCTGCTCAAAAAACCAAGTGGCTTTCTATTGCTTACCATGGAAATTTCAAACTCCATTACCTGGCAGAATCACAGAGGGACCCCTTCAAGGCCTTTCACAATCTGCCATCACTCTGCATTTCCAGCTTTATTTTCAATCCCTTATCATAGAGTATGCTATATTTCAGCCAAACTAGACTACTCTAGTCTTCACCTTCCTTTCTCCATCCCTGTGGCCCCATTGCCCTGTGCCTTCCCACCACCACACTATTTCTTTCTCTTATGTTGTTCCCTATGGCAGCAATGCCTTTCCATCTATTGGATTTCTACCCTTCTGTTAAAAGTCAACTCAAATGCCACCTTTTCTATGAAGCGTTCCCTGATCTCTTTGATTGGTAACAATCTTTCTAGAACTTCATGGAGTTCTGTTTTCTATATTTCTAGTGCTTTTAACTATTATTAAACATTATATAATGTATCTATTTGTGTCTTATTCTCAGATTATAAGGTCCATAAGGGGCAAAGATTGGGTCTTATTTAAACGACGTATCTTCTCTAGGCTCAAGCACAGTGCTCTGCATACAGTAGGTGCTTAATAAGTTTGTTGAATGAAGGAATGGGCCCTCACTAGTTTGGCTTGGACTTTATATACATTGTATGTGAGGGTCAAAGAACAGGCAAGGTTCTTTATGTACTTTATTATTCCATCCCATTAAAACTTTATCTGAAATCACTTATTATTCATTGGATTTGATTCAAACATCCAAGGCTGATTGGGGTATGTGTGCATTATTTTCCTTTCCTCTGGGGGAGCAGGGCCCTCCAGGTTGGTCAAGTTTGATATTCTACCTTCCTTCTCAAACCTATTAGAAACAGGGATCCCTGTTCCCCTACAGGTCCCAGCCCCTATGGGATTAAGATAACCTGGTATAATCTGGAGAATCACCAAGTCCAGAATGCAAGGAAGGGGGGAGAGAGAGAGAGAGAGAGAGAGAGAGAGAG